GGGTGGGGGGCAGCGGGGGGTGGGGGGGAAAGTTTGCATTGCAATCCCCCTGCCTTCCTCTCCTTTCTCCCGATCAATGCATATTTGCAAAAGGATTAAGCCACAGATTTAAGCGCCGGGAGCCCATTTCTGCCGTGCAAAGGAGACCGGACTGAAAAACCAAAAGCCAGCTCTGATTTCTTTTCGCCAAGTGGGAAGGTGGTTTATTTTTCTTGCTTTTTGGAGTCAACACCCTTCCCCACCAGCCCTTATCCCCACCCTCACCCCGCAACCCCTTCACGCCCCCCTCCCCCTCCCATCCCCATCCTCCCACCATCCTCTGCAGAGGCAAAGGGATTTTTTTTTTTTCTTTTGGTCTTCTTTTTCCCCCTTCCCTGTTTATCCTGAAAAGGATTTGAAGACAGCTTGAAGGATAAAAGCCTTGGTGCTTCCCGGAGCCGAGCCGAGGAGCAGAAGAGGAAGCCGGGGCTGCCTTCGGAGATGGACGAGCAGCCCAGGCTCATGCATTCCCACGCCGGGGTCGGGATGGCCGGGCACCCCGGCCTGTCCCAGCACTTGCAGGACGGGGCCGGAGGGACCGAGGGGGAGGGCGGGAGGAAGCAGGACATTGGAGACATTTTACAGCAAATTATGACCATCACAGACCAGAGTTTGGATGAGGCGCAGGCCAGGTGAGATGGAGGCTTCTCTTTTCCTTTCTTGGGGTTTTTTGTTTTTCTCCCTCTCGCAGGGGGAAACAATGGGAACCGAGTCGCCACAGCGCTTTCTTTCCAAATGTTATTTCTTTTCCCATTTTGGACCTGCAACTGTATGGCGGAGGAGTAGAATTGGGAAGGAGCGTTGTTATCGAAAGTGTACTCGCCCGTGCTGTGCTGTGTATATTGTGTGTGTGTGCGTGTGGCTGAGGTGTCCCTGCGTGCCCGCACAAAACACGCAGGCACACCGAAAATACTGCTAACTGATCCCGAGAGCGGCCCTCGGCACTTTTTACTGCTTTAGAAAAGTCTAAGGGAAAGCAGAATTGTCAAGTTTTGAACCGCGTTCCCTGCCTTCTTGCTGAAGGACTCCGGAACGTTACAAAATAAAATGTCCCAAGAATACTTTATTTGCAAATTCACTGGACTCCTCACCTAAGTCAGCGAGTTTATTTTTCTTTCTTGACTTAGCCCTCCCAAATTAATTTTTATCTTTTCCCCTCCTCTCGCATAAAACAAACAAACAATCAGGGTATTTCTTTGTCAGGAGTTCTCAGCTATTCAGAAAATATTTTGCATTCACTTTCATTCTGCTTTTCAAAAAAAGCCAATGGAAAGAAGAAAAAGATCATTTTCCTTTTAGGCGTGTGTGTTAGTTTTCAGACACTCAGGTTTTTAGTTCAACTTTATTGTCTGTTAATAGGAGTTGGTTTACTGACCTTCTGTGACACAAACAGCTAGGTATGGTCCTTTAAAAAGGGGGGGGGGGCAGAAATCAAGCATGCTCCTTCTCCCATGCTTTTTCAGAACCACTGAGACTGCAACTAAATAGAAATGATAGCTTGTGTGAATTTTATTTCACTATTATAGGATGTGAAGGTTTTCATTAAGAAGACAAAATAAACTCTGCAGCTTTTCAACTTCATCCGCTGCCTGAGACCTAGCACTCTGCTCTAGAATTTTACAGTAAATTCTGTCAAAAGAAAATGTAGATTAACTGGCAGCCCACTAACAGCTTGCCAAGGAAGGCCGAACGCAAAAGGGAGGATTTACAAACCCTAATGACCACATATGTCTGTGCAATTAAACAGTTTTGCTAAACCGCCAAAGTATTTAAAAAATATTTTTTTGCTTTAAAAATTTTGTAAACATGTATACACTCTTCCTATACTTCACCTAACTTGTATGTGGGAGTCATCTTGATGTGTATTTTTGTTGAAGGAAAATGGGAATTTGAGTTGAGAAAATATGAGGAAGCAGCTAAAAGCGTGGATGTTACCAATTACACTTTTATTTTAGATGCAAGCACATGCAACATGTAAGCTCAAAAGTAGTAAGGTTTACGGGTGCGTGAGACTTGGGCATGTTCAGAGGCTCGGGCTCTTCTAAAAATTTTGTAAGTAGGGGA